GTGTGTGTGTGTGTGTGTGTGTGTGTGTGTGTGTGTGTGTGTGTGTGTGTGTGTGTGTGTGTGTGTGTGTGTGTGTGTGGTGCCACTGGATGGTGTCGCTATAGCAACCAGGCTCACACCTGCCTGCTTAATGAGCTCTGTCTGTCACATAACTGACCCCATATATATCTTTGCTATTTAGCGTTAACTCTGTTACAGCCAAAGCTGAATTGGGATATTATGTAAATCTACACATAAAGCTTCCATAAGTCACTCAAAGGGTACATGGATCTTAAGTGTATTAAAAGGAAATTTCACTCAAAACCAAAATGAGTCTTGTAGTGGCAGAAAAGCTTGGAGATTACCAAAGTAATTAGATTCTGTTTCAACTTCATTTTCTTAGAAGTGTTTCAAGATTAATCTAGAAATGTTGACTTAGTTCTTAAAATTAAAGATGACAATAAAAGATATCCAAGATGAAAGTCAAGATACTATTTCGACTTTAATCTCAAAATTTCCAATTAATTCTCCAAAATAGTATTTCAATGAGAAATTCAACATACAAATTTGAGAATAAACTTGAAATACTATTTTGAGATTAAATTCAACTTAAATTCAAATTTAACTTTTTTCTCAAAATAACATTTTAAAATTTGTCTTGAAATTTTGATTTCATTCTAAAAATAATAATAAAATAAATTCCCCTCTCGACTTCCAGGCCATACTTGGCACAGATGTTCCTGTATACTATGCTGGCCACTTGGATATGGCGTCCCATGTATGCCCTGCCTGTCAGCATCTTGCATCCTGCTGTTATGTGCTGGATTAGCTCAGGGGCATCTTTACACAGTCTGCACCTGGGGCCTTGCCTGGTGTGATAGACCCCAGCCTCTATGGATTTTGTGCTCAGAGCTTGTTCCTGTGCTTCCAATATCCTTTGTGCTGACTTTAAGTCCAGCTTTATCCAGCCACTGGTAGGATTTCTGGATGTCAGTCACCTCCTCTATCTGCCGGTGGTACATGCTCTGCAGGGACCTATCCTCCCATGATGGTTCCTCCTCTTCCTCCTTCCTTGTTTTTACTGTTTAGCTGGCACCTCGGGACTTGCCTGACTCTCTGCATTTGAAGCTTTCCTGGCAGCCTCTCCATGGTTCTCTCTATCTATCTCTCTATCTCTCTATCTCTCTATCTATGTAATTTGAACAATATTGTCAAATGTCAAACGTAATATTAACAGACTCCGTCCCTTCCTTACTCCCCATGCTGCTGCCATCCTTGTCCTCAGTCTTATTCATCTTACTGTTCCGTCCTCACACCTTATTACTATGGGGAACAGAGCTTTCAGTCGCTCTGCTTCCCGGCTCTGGAACTCTCTTCCTCCTGCACTAAGAAATATTGACTCCCTTTCTATTTTAAGACACAGCTCAAAACACATCTGTTTAAACTGGCTTATTCACTTTAATGCTGATTTTATCTGTTGTCAAGCTCTGTTTTGTAATTTTAACTTATTTTATGTATTTTATGACAACTGTTCCTTTTATTAATTTTGTTTTTTGTAAGGTGACCTTGGGATTTTGAAAGGCGCCCTCAAATCAAATGCATTATTATTATTATTATTATTATTAAATGTATTAATAACAACAACAACAATTAACCTTTAATAAAAAATATTATTATTGTTCGTGGACCTAACAGCCCCTCGCCAATCTTTTATCGAACTGAGGGGATGAGGCCGAGTCACACCGAACCCTCTTGTTCGATATTTTAACAATAATTTCCGTAAAACCCTTAAACGCATCACGAGTGCGCTGAAGGAAACGCCCTTTGGGTGGGCTTACAAAATGTTTCTCCGTTTTGCGACTTTAACAGCGTACCGGCGCGTATTAACTTTGTAACCTTCTTCTACTACCCATGTATTTATGTAGGGTAGGTGTAATATGAAGTCTATATACTAAAAGAGGTACAAATGAACCCCAAACGCAGGGTGCTTTGTGCCTAACTTTTTATTCGAGACTCGGAATCTCTGAATCCCTGCACATCATCATGATCTTATTGCTGCTTCTAGTTGCCAGTCTTGGTGTTGGTAAGTAAGGAAGCTCATTTCCACGTTAGTAAAGCAGCTTTAATAATGCTGAAGTCTGGGACTCAGCATCAGTGCTCAGGATCACCCTTTATTATTGTATTTAAGTGCAATTTTCTTAACTCTGATAACACGGTATAATTATTTACATTGACATGTTGTCAATGTAAATATGCCAGAATTAGCTAAAGTAATTTGCAATAATAACATACATTAATAATTTTTCTCTCCTCTCCAGGCCTTGAAAATGTTGAAAATTATGAAGTGGAGTATGGAAACAGATTCAGGATGAGGGTGTCAAGAAGGGTTCACTTTATCGAGTTAATCCCCAAGAACAAATCAGAAGGGACGATCTTGTGGGAACGTGACGAAGATCAGCCCAAAGAGGGCAGTAGATGGAAGATGACTGAGACCTTATATACCATCAGTTCTTTAGCCCAAAAAGACAGTGGCCGCTACATATTCAAAGACAACTATGGGGAATTGATGCATGCGAAGATCATTGACGTAAAAGGTGTGGATCTTTTTAGTCCTTGATTTATCTAATGTTTTTTTCTTTTTCTACAGGTGTGCTAAACTTTTACCACAAGCCTATAGTTAGATTGACCTACAAATCAATGAGAGCGTAACACTAACAGCATATTTAAAGTCTCTAAAGCCAAACTGCGGTATATAACAAATATGCATTTAGTTAAGTCATATAGCTCTATACTCTGTAAACTGGATTTTATAAAGTCCACCAGAGCAATGCAAATCTAAAGCTCAATAAAGGACATATGGGTTGGTTCGTTTTAACCCTTTTTAAAAGGACAGGTTCTGGTTTTATGGAGATTCTCACAGCTCATCTTCAGAAGCATCATACACGACAGTAACTTAATTTTCCTTAAATCGGACACAAAACCCCCCAAAAAACTTACACCACGAACCAAGACAAAGTTGAACACATCATATACTTAAAAACCCCGTCCACTGCAGGGGAAATCACCATGTGCAACTGAGGGGGAAACGCTGATAAAAGTCCTATAGACACCCTACAATGAGTTGAAATATTAACTTGTTATTTATTTCTCCATATGTAATTTTTGTCATTTGTATTGTGTCACTTTGTATGTCCCTCACGATTTCCCGTCATCAACCCCTCCCCTAGAGCTGCCCCTGCTTCCTACAGATTCCTCATGCATTAGTGCATTAACTTAAAAATCACTTTAAT